AAAAAAAAAAAAAGAAAACAACCTGGATAGAAGAGGAGTCTTTTCTAAAGTGATTAGGCAAAACTGCTCTGACTCATGAAGTATAAATGGTTTGAGAAGGAGCTACTAATGTGCTTCTGATTCCTTCTAGAACAGTGTTCTCAGAAGCACAACAAAAGCAGAAGGGACCCTCTGTTTATAGAAATAGGAGTAACAATTATGCCCATCCACCAACTTTCTTTTCTGAATCCACTGAGAGGGAAAGAATCCAAATTCCAAGCTTAGAGAGACTGATCTTATTTGAAGAGGCCCTGCTCCTAGTTAAGGTTTCAACTTATTCCTCCTTTCCATTTTTGTAACAGCTCTTTCCCCTTTAAAGGCCTTTAGGATATGGGTGTGTATGTTCCCAAGATTCTGGTCAAGTAGACAGAGACACAATCTTTTTCATTCAGTCATATTGAGAGGAAGGGATGGCTTAGCTCAACTAGTCTTATTTCCACAGGAACAGGGCATATTCCTGACTGTCACCTTTTGATAAAGCAGGGAGATCACATTAACTTTGTGAGAACACTCAGGAATATGAAAATAACTGCTTGACCCCATTACTAACTTATGGATGGTTACCACGGAAGCATGATTTACTTCCCTCTGCTTCTGGAAAAGGCTTGGAAAGCATAGGAAGAAAGCCAAAGGCTAGGTAATGCAGATTTGTCCTCCTCTAAATATCCCAAGGATTTCACTTCTGACCACAGTTGCTTTTAGCAGCAAGAAGAGGTCATGTGCACAAACCCTCACTATTTGGAGGAGAGACCAGCTGACTCCATTTAAAGGTTACCTGTTTAACAAAACTGCATTCCAAGTGCCAACTTGCTTTCTAAACTGGAAAGTTAAGATTAGAAACACACTAGGAACACAAAGAGCAAATGCTATGGCAGCTAAGAAAATTCTAAAATCACAGGGAGCCTTTTTTAATAAAAAGAATGTGAACAAGTTCTTCAATATTTCTTTTGCTTTTTGCGATCAGATTTAATTTGGGCAAGCGAGGAGTAGTAAAGAAGGTGTCTCTGCTATTTGCAGAGACTGGCCCCGAGTCTTTATCATCAGAAATCGTTGGTGAGTTTGCTTGGAATGTACTTAAGATTTTTCACTCACATATCTATCTTCAAATTCTGAAAGGGCACTTTTTTTTTTTTTTTTAAACAATGGGATGTTCACCAAGGCATGCTTACTTGGGCAACTCAAAAATGAGCCCGATAGACTTAACTGCTACTTTGAGTACGGTCACCTTCAGAGTAGTTAAGATTTCAGACTTTCTGGGATTAACAGGTCCATCACCTGGGCCAACCAGCCTGCTAACCAATTTCTCCTTCATTTTAGGTCAACAGCCAGGGCACAGCTTTGGGGATTAGCGGACAATCTCTAAACATGAGTATTGGTTGGAAAAGCTCCTTTCCAGAAAAAACAATGGATCAAGTAAATAGCTCTGTCCTGGAGTTTTATTCAACCCACCTACTGTGACAGTTCCAAAAACAAAGCAGGGCTTTGGACTGACCCCACTCTCTCCTAAGATGTGTTTGTAATCATGGTTTGAAAGTGGCCAAAGGCAAGGATATTAAAGTTTATGCATAGAACATCTTACATCAGGGCTGAACCTTGGACTCAGCAATCTAGATAAGAAATGCGGAATGAAAATTAGCCAACAAGGGTCATGGGTGCACAGCTCTCATGGACAGACACATTAGCACACCGAGGAATAAACCATGCCAGGAATCAAATTAGAATGTGCAAAGCTTGTCAGAGTCTTCTAAAGAATGCCATTTGCTCTGCAGTTTTAAAATCATACCAAATTAACCTCCAAGCCCACATGACCTAAAGGGCTTTGCAAAACAACAACATATTTACAGCCTCAAGTAATGAAGAAGTCAAAAAGCTCCAAAGAGAATGAGCTGAGAAAGTGAATGTAAGCACAGCCAACCAATCAGTAAATGCTTCCCAGGACACACACTTACCAAGTATATCCCCAAAGTTGGGCTGCCAGATGTTATGTTTGAATGGAAGCCAACCCTGGGTTTGTGAGAACACTTGCCAGACAGAGGAAAAGTTACTCTTATTTTAAAAAACAAAACAGTCCTCCAAGATCAGTTATTTCTTTTCACTTTGGGAATATGGTCACTTGGCAAATGTTTCTCCCAGAGATGCATTTTAGACTGCTTTTCAGCTAATGTTTAAGAACATAAGATTGGTCATCTTACCCTAGCATCTGTGACCTTGAATTCTCTTAGGATATATTGTGGCATGTTGTACTCAGCCATGGGATCTACAACAAAGTACTGGTATCTTGCAGATCGTTCTGCTGGCCAGTATTGGTGACATTTCTCCTAAAAGGAGAGAAGATTAATGGCAAACTATACAATGTACAAATTAAATTTTATCTATCATCTATCAATCTATATATTTAATTTCTTTCTCTCATTAATAGAAGTTCAAAATTCAAGGCCATTCCAATTGCATGTGACCCATTTTCTTTTTGAAACCATAAGTTCCTTGAGAATAGGAAAATCAAATGGTTTAATATTTGCTCATGATATCAAACACACTACTGGCATACAGTAGCTTATCAATACACATCAACTGAATTGAATATTTTGAAAGCGTAAGTGTCTTCATACTACAAGTTCTCCAAATAATAACATCAGTCCTTAGATGTAATGCTGGCCCTGTCAATCATGCATTGCACCACCAGAATAGACTTGCATCACTGTGTTATGGAATGAATAGAGCCATCAAGTGTGAATGCAGAAAGAAAATTCTATATTGATCTGGTCCAGTCTCCCTTGTTAGCTGAGGAAACTGGAGCCCAAGCAGTTTTAATGATTTGGCTAAATCTTGCAGAGATTCAACTATGAATAGTCAGAATAGTCAAGTCACTTTCCTACTTTGGCATTTTTTGCTCTCCATCTCTACATTTATACAAGGAAGAGAGAAAGAAAATGTCTGAAGCAAACATAGCAAAATGCTTACATCTATCAAATCTAAGTGGTAGGTTCTTAAGTATCTCTAATACTATTTTATGTATTTTTCAGAATAATCATTTTCAAAAAGTAGATCTAAGATGACCAGATTATATATATCCTTGGAAAAACTGTAACTTTCTAACACCCTATTCAATATGGGGTGGAGGGTGGGCAGGTAAGAATTTGCCTCACAGATAAAAGAAAGTCAAGTTTCTTCACACAGAGAAATGATGGCACATTTGCTCATGAAACTCCAGCTTGTCCAGCATGAAAGGAAAAAAGACTATGCCGAGAGCCGGGACCTAAGTCAAACAGGAACATCTACTTCTTTGCTCCTATGATCATGCTGCAATGGAAACAAAATACTAGATCTTTCTTCAAAGCACACAAATTAAAGAACTTGATGTGGCTTTGCAAGCTAAAAACCAACACAAGAGTAATGAATGGCCCAGAATGTGTCTGGAGAACTCCACATCTCCAAGAAATGATGCTGGCCCTTGGGTTATTAAAAGGAAATCGTCATTTCTTCATGGAGTGAATATCTTATGAAAAGACACTCACTCTGCCCATCTCACGCAGCTTGGTGAGCATCACGACAATGGTGGAATTGTGTTCCCAGAGCATTCGCCAGAAGTCTTCAGTGGTCTCTGCCAAGGGCCCCTGGGTAGCGATGTAGGCTTTCTGTTGTCTGAATTACAGAGAATAAAAGTAGCATGTTAAAGTTCACATTTGATATGTAAACATCAAACCCACTAATGAAAACTGAAAACATATCATCAGGGCAATTGCAGTAAGTGTCCATTAAGACTGTGTAATCAAATGAGAATATTTAATACATTTGGGGGCTTTGCAAAAGAAATTGTTTTGTTAATATTATGATGTATGTCTTTATCATTATTTAAATTTTAGTGCAACACCAATAACTCAGTTTCATGTATCATACAAATCACTTAAACAGTGGTGTCTCTTCATTTTGTAGATAGGATTCTTACACAATCTATTAAATTTATGAAATATGGTGTAAAACAGCTTCTTCATTAACTCCTTCCACAACCAAATTGCTTCTGAGGAAGAGTGCAGAAGGGCAGATTAAAGATTCCGTGACTGCTTCTTCTTACTCCTACCAAAAATAATAAAAAACAAATACCAAGGGACTGAATGCTGACCTATGCAGAAAGAAGATGCTTTGAATTGAGATGAAATTCATTCTGGCTGTGAAACTAGGGCACATGTAAATATCAAGGCTTTGGACTGTCAGGGGAGCAAGAGTATATACCTGTATCCATCAATAAAACTGGCATTGATGTAATCAGATCCTTCTACTCCTCGGATAGGCTGCAGGCAGACCCTTGTGGATTCATATGGCATAATATTAACAAGGCGATTTTTGAATTTATTACATGGAAGATTGGCACTGATGAATCTTGAGGTGTGAGCTTTAGAGCTGGCTAGACGCTGTTAAATAGAAGAAAAGAAAAAAATCTGACAAAGATAATTTTAGCCTACAGTTAGATGCAATGTACTCAAGATTTCCTCTTTAGATACAAAGCTGGTGTTTACTTTAAAGCAAAGGACTCTTCAAATTGCACTCCTTTTCACTTCTACCTAATGATTCCATATAGCGTACTGAATTTTTAAATATGTTTTGAGAGTATGATCTTCAATTTAAATTAGGGTACAAAAGAGCTTGACGTATTGTTAGGAAGCAAAGAACAGAAAAGGGAAAGAGGAGGAAAGTGTTTTATAGTTAGACACCTGAGAAGGTCAAGTGAATCTTGTAACTTCAGAATTTGAAAGGTTAAGAAAGTGAAGCCGCTACTCAAAGACAATCCCAGAATGACTTGCTCCTGAATTACCACATCACATCCCATATCGTACCTTAAATTCGAGCTCCATTCCTGTGACATTCTCTCCTGTTTCTATTTGTGTCAGCTTCTGAATATAGGCATACAAGTTTCTAGCTGGCACTTCGGTATTTCCACAAGTCACTGCTTCTAACAGTGCATCATGGATAAAGATGTATTGGTCTTCTGTTTGAACCATGTAATTCCTCTGGGCTCTCATTAAAGTTACATGGCCATAAATATCTACAGTTTTTTCATGCTTTATTCTTTCTAACATGGCATCTATTACGATGAAACAACCAGTCCGGCCAACTCCCGCACTGTAAGAAAAACAGAGAAAAGAAAAGTCCAAATAAATCTATCAGGAAATCAAAACATAAGAATTTATTTTAATTCTTACTAAGTAGGTTTTAAACCCATTAATTCTTTTCAACTAGCTATTGGGATTATTTCGGAGCACTCTAAAATAAAAAAGTATTATCAAGTCAATACAACCAGAGGATAAGGAATCAAATACCAAGTAATATTAATTTGGTTTCAAAATGTAAAACCATTAAATCCATAATTACTGTGGTCATTGATCATGTAACAGAAAGTAGACATTATTTTGAAACTGCTATAAAAAAACACAAACATTTAGGTTGTTTATATTAGAAGATATTTTAAAAAATTGTTTAAGATCTAATTAGGCTATATCTTTTTGTAAAACTTCTCCATCTATTTCAGTTCAATTTGTGAAATAAAAATGAGAAAATCACTCAGTCTGAAACATTTCATATTCTAAAACCCAGCAAGGAAGTTTTATTTTATTTATTTATTTATTTTAAAGATTTTATTTATTTATTTGAGACAGAGAGAATGAGAGAGAGAGAGCACATGAGAGGGGGGAGGGTCAGAGGGAGAAGCAGGCTCCCTGCCGAGCAGGGAGCCCGATGCGGGACTCGATCCAGGGACTCCAGGATCATGACCTGAGCCGAAGGCAGTCGCTTAACCAACTGAGCCACCCAGGCGCCCAAGGAAGTTTTAATATCAACTTAGTGAGAAATAGATAATTAAAATATTAAAATGTTTCACACTAAAAAGGTACAGGATATGTTCAATGAAAATAATTTCCTACTAAAATAATCACTAGAGAGTAGGTGGGTTTTTTGTTTTTACTCCCTTCTCCTCCAAAGTTGAATATATTTTGAAATTCTAGGTGAAATTCAAGTATTCTGTGTGGAAAAATAAAAGCCTTAATCTTTGTTATTGAAGAAGCTCTGAGCTTTTTTTTTTAAGCTCCATTACTTTGGGACTTACGAGTCATTTTCCAGTTGGTGGAAACTGATTCAAACAAGAGAAGGTGAGAGAGTGAGCAAAACCCAAAGACAAGATCCACTGTTCCAAGGAGACAATCTAATTTACTGAATTGGATTACAGTCACGTGGTTGAAACATTGGAATTTCCTCAAGTGTAGAAAAGAATACTAACAAAATAACACATCTGTGCTCTTAAATCTCTAGGTAAGCCTTGTTTGTCTCTTATCAAACTCTTAAGAGTGAGTCTGTTTATGTGTCAAATATGGTTGAATCCAAAATATTTTTCTCCTCCTGATTATCGATATTTACCTGGCTGGGAAACATGTAATCAACAGGAGTAGGTATCCACCACCACCACAGAAACTAAGCAACAGACAGTCTCTTTCATTAGCTACATGCCACTGTTTCCTGTCATTTGTGTATCTATGTGTTCATTTATTTATCCATCTGTCCATTGACATATCCTTCTCTTCATTCAATGAACAGCACTTTGTTAAGTAATATAGGGGGTACAACATTAAAGATGACTTACATCATACCTTTAAAGAGCTCAGCATCTATCAATGAGGTAAAAGTTTACTTAACTATTTATACTAAAAGACAAGGAGAAGAAGAAGAAGAAAAAGAAGAAGAAGAAGGAAAAGAAGAAGAAGAAAAAGAAGGAGGAGGCAGAGGAGGAGGAACAGGAGTGGGAGGAGGGGGAAGGAAGAGGAGGAGGATGTGTTAGTTTTGTGGATGATGTGGCATTTGAACTAGGACTTGAAGGACAGGAAGGATGGGGGAATTGTGGAGGCTAGAATAGCAAAACAGAAACAATGACTTTTGTAGTCATACTGTTGGCTCTGGGAGTTACATGTGAAACTTTTCATTGACCTAGTGAGGCACTTGTACAAGGAATGTACAAGAACTCCAAGTGGATGAGTTTAGTGAGCACTAGGGTATCTGACAACTGAATGGCATTTCTCTCTAGTGCCAAGTGGCCACAAGGTGTTAAGTAAGCATTTTGTAACAAATAATACATTCATTTAACTACTGAGCAGTGCAGATCAAATCTAGCTTCCACGAAGTGACATGACATTGAGATGTAATGCAAAAATCCATTGAGACAAAGAGTCTTTGAAGTGACAGAACTTCTTTTAGTACACAATTAGAAACCTGATGCACCAAGGTCCACATCTAGTTTGTTCTACTAGTAACCTGTGAGATGGGGAGTTTTCCATGACATTCCCATCCCCCCACTCTCTCACCCACCAGGCAGGATTAATCATCCTCTGTTCCAGATCACTTAAGTCGAGTGTCAAATACCACCCCAGTATAGTCTCAGTTACATTGCATTATTAATTAGCCTGGTGGGTCTGTCATCCACAAATCATGGCGCATAACCTGAAAGCAGGAACTATATTTTCTGTTATCTTTGTGTGTCCTGCACCAACCATGCAGTCGGTGTTCAATAATGTTTGTGAAATAAGAAAATAAATCAGTGATTGGCATCAGAGGCCTTAAGTAATGAGCAGCCCATCCATGTTCAGTAAGCCTACTGAGGAAGCAGGACTCATCAGTTAATGAAACAGGACTGAGGAAGCAGGAATCTTCAGTTAATGAAAGAAATCCCACATTTGACAAAGGCTCAGAATTGTGCAGAGAATGCCCAAAGACTACTCCACAGTGGTGGGTAGGGACTGGAAAATGCTTTGCGTGGCCTCTGTGTCTTGGTCTTCTGATCTGGGAAGTAGCCCCCCACACTGGGGAGGTTCTAAGACTATGAGTAATACCTTTTTCTCTTTTTCTGTGTTGTTTTTCTTAATTGTCTTCATCCCAATTTTGCATTGTTTTTAATTGGATACAACTTCATGCAGTTCTTTATAGTGGAAACCATGCCATAAGCCTCATAACTGAGTCCTAAATATCAAGTCAATTCTAGATAATGGCAGGGATATTTCCCCAAAATATGCATCAGGGACCATTCTCAAATGTCTGGATGATGCATAGATCTATATTCAGATAGAAAGATATCACAAAATCTTGGAAAATTGGTAGGAATGACTTTAGTTTCAAACAGTAGCAACCTCTTCAAGGTGGTAATGAAAGAAAAAATATGTGCCTGAGTCTAAATTACAAGCTGGGGAAGAAAAGAGGAGCGTCTATGACTTGTGCCAAACCCATTTTTTTCTCCCCCAAATTCAAAATACTGTTAACTGCCCAAACTTGTGTATTCATATGTAAGATAGGGAAGGAGCTGACCCTTTTAACTTACATGTTACCTCTTCTTTAGGAGGAAGAGTTCTTGGGGGTTTTAAATGTTAGAAAGTGTCTCTTAGCTTGAAGTAAGATCATGAAGTTCAAGATACTTTTTCCAGATACCAATGGCTGGGTGTCCTTGAGAAAGTCACTTAACCTCTTCCTTGCTTTCCCATTTTTCTTAAATCGCGATAATGGTAATTAACTCTAGTTAATTACCTAGTAAGTCTTAAGGCTGAATTAAACATACCGAGTGTTTTGCAAACATAAAGGAAGAGACAGTTACTTTGTAGGTACAAACTGCATTTTAAAATTCTACCTCTGAAGCTGACAAAAGGAATAGGTAATGTTAATGCTGAGAAAATTATGATAGAATCACTGCAGGATCATTTAAGATTAGGCTTTCAAAAATCTTGCTTTAATCTACCCCCTCAAGCCGTTCTCCCCTTTCTCCTCATATTTCCAATAAATAATACCTTACATTGGAAGAACTTTCTGCTTTCACATATATTGTCATGGTAAATGAGATGGCAATAAAGCGCCTTCCCACCATAGTGCCTGGCTCCTGGAAGGTATTCAGCAAAGGTCTGTCAGTTCTCTTTTCCCTTCTATGATTTATGACATTTGGAAGCTGCCCTGAAGTCCTCCAGCTCACGGTAAATGGCCAAAAAGGGACTCAAATGGAGGGTGCATGGTGCTAAACTTTAGCACCACATTCCATGGCACTATCTTTGCTTCATACTGCTTTCTGCCAGTTGGGTCAGGGAAAAAGAAAAAGGCACCTTTCTTGTAGCCCAGCCCTCTAGAACACTCCTTTAGCAGTGTTCATCAATCCTGAATGCAAGTTCCTTGAAAAGTATTTCCTCCTGTGCCACTGAGTATGGGAAACAAGAGATACTCCCCTTGCGGTTGAAGGTAGGAAGGGAAGTGATTAAATAATGATCTCCAATACAAAATCACCTTAAACATGCAGCACATGGAATGAGCCAAGAGGAACTGTGACTCACATGTAGTTGTTCCATCGAGTCCATGACAGGGTAGAATTTCTAGCAAGTTGGAAACCAAGACAAAACTCTAAATGCCATCTTCAGAAATCTACCAGCATCCCTTTAGACTGTGCCTCAGTAAGTGATATTTTTTCTGTTTAATGCTTATATTGATTATCCTCATGCTTCTCTGGATTTTTTCCATTTGTATCTCTTTCTCTAATTCACACACCTCAGCCAGCTGTCAAAATGTAGATAATGTCCCCAAAGTTCTGTCCTCCTTTCTCTCATTCCCCTTCATGATTCAGCAATAATCATCAAAAAAATGATTTCTAAAGCGATAGCCCTTTCTCTGAGCATAAGTGGAGACCTATATTTCAAGTTGCCCTCAAGTTTCTCTAGAAATAAATAGATCCCAAGATTAATCAGCATCTTCTCTGCTCAAACCTGCTCTTTCCTCTCTCTCATACCTTACTATTCAGTTCTAAAATATAAGAATCAGTTTGGATGGTTTTTCCCTCCTTGCCCACACAATAATAAATTATAAATTCTTGTGCTTTTCACCTCTACAAATTTTATTCAACTATCTATCAATGGTGTGCTGGAGCTGGCAAAAGCCAATTGTTAAATTCTCAGAAATTTTGCTCAAATAAACATATTAAAAATAAAGGCTATGCTCGGGGCAGAGCAAGATGGCGGAGGAGTAGGAGACCTGGATTTCGTCTCCTCTCAGGAATTCAGCTGGATAGGGATCAAACCATTCTGAACATCTACAAACTCAACAGGAGATCGAAGAAA